TATAATCCAATAATAATTAATATAAATCTTATCCAATAAGATTGTTCGTTAAATGTCATATCATGACAATATAAAATAACTTTAAAGTAAAAGAGAATATTAATTTACTAAAGATAAATAATATATATTTATTTTATAATTAGCCAAAATAAAACCAAAAATATTTAAAGATAATTATATTTTTTTTAAATTTAAAATAAAAAATTAATTACAAAAATTATAACTTTGTAATTAAACTAAAAATTATAAAATAAAATATAATAACTTTATAATTAAAATGAGAAATTATAATTATTTTAATTATTAAGATAAATTAAAAGGAATAAAACAAATAATAAATTTCTTTTTGTTATTTTTTTAAACTAAAATATATAATATTTATAAGTAATTAATAAATAAAAAATAATTATTTGGAATGATTATTAAAGTAATTATTTGAAATGATTGCTTAAAATAATTATTTATTATAAATAATTATTTGATTATGTATAATAATTATATATAATAATTATTTATATAAAATATTAAGTTATAATAATATAAAAAATAAATATATATATAAAGATTCTTAATATAATAATCTTTTGATATAATAATTAATATTTTGAAAACTTTATAGATTCAAAGATTTTTTTATTAAATAAGTTTTTGTAATCAAATTATTTCTTTTAAAAATCAAAGTATAATTAATTGATAATAATTATAAAAGAAATACAATAATTAACAGAATTATAGAATTATATATATGATTTTATTAATAAAATATAATAAACTTAAAATTTTTGTTTATATAAAAGTTTTCAAAATTTCTCTATAATCACATTTGTTTATAGTCACACCTCTTTATAGTTACTCTATTTTGCTTTTCTATTTACATATAAATACAGTAAGATCTTATTATAGTAACATTCTTTATAATAACATTTTATTACAATAACATTAAATTTCTTTTCTCAATCTCATTATTTTAATAAGTTTTATTATATATTTTTCTTTTAATAAAGTAATATTTTGTTATAATATTACCAAATCCTTATTTCTGATTATGTTACTATAACGAGAGTTAATTGTATAGTAAAAAAACTTTTTTATAGTTATATCTTCTTTTATATTAAAATAAAGATTATAAATTATATAATAACTAATAGAATTATGAAATTACACATGTAATTTTATTAATAAAACATAGTAAAAATTCAATTTTTGTTTATATAATTTTATTAATAAATATTTTTTATTTTTATATTAAAATAAAGATTATAAGTTATAATTTAATATATATTTTTTTGGATTTTTTAGATTTTTTTTACAAAGTTGTTCTAATTACAAAGTTATTGCAAAATTTTTTGTAATTAAAATGTAAAATTAATTATAAAAAATTTTTGCAATAACTTTGCAATTAGAACAACTTTGTCAGAAAAAATCCAAAAAAAATATATGTTAAATTATAACTTATAATCTTTGTTTTAATATAAAAATAAAAAATATTTATTAATAAAATCACGTGTAATTCCATAATTCTGTTAGCCACTGTAAGTGTGATTATAGAAAATTTAATCGTAATTTAGTTACAACCTTAAAATTTTATGACTCATAATTTTTAATATAGTTATGAATTTAGTAGTTGTAATATGCATTGGGTAAATTCAGGCATTTGAACGATTTTAGATCGATTAGGCATTTCTAGATTAGCAGGTCAAAATTTGATAAAATCATTCGAATGTGCATTTTGTAATATGCTCTATGTGGTTTGTAGTTTTTCTCATTATGCTAACGCTAACAATCATAGTCATGTACAATGTATTAATAATTGTTATGTTGCTTATTAAACTTTTTTTTATCTTTTTTTCGCATACGCGATGAAAGAAATATTAATTAAAAAACAAATGACTTGTTGGTTTGTTATTATATTAATTATTTAGCAATTTGAAGATATGTGTGTGCAAGTTATTGGATTGAGCAGAGAATGCAGCCTGTGGAGCTGGCGAGATGGATGGTTGTATTGGTGGGATTGTCATGTAGGGAGCCTGTTGATTCAAAGTGAATGAAGACTTTGGCGAAGATGTATAATTTGTTTGCTGTGCTGATGAGAATGGTGAGTGATGAGTCGGCAGATAAGCAGATTGTGAAGTTGAAGAAATTGGAGGAAGCTGTTGTGTCGGATATCCAGGATGTGCAGATGGTATATACGAAGATTGTTGCTGCATTCCTAAAGACCTAATTTGTGGTTCTTTAGTATAGGCAGCATTTTGCATCATATTATATGGGAGTTGTTGGTATGTGGGATAAGGAGTTGGGTGATGATGAAATGGACTTTGCGGTTTGATAGTGTAAGCTTTTGTTATTGGTGAATAATTTGTCTGCTGCGCCGATGAATATGATGAATGCTGCGTGGACATGTAAGCGTGTGATGAAGGATTTGGTTGTGTGGAAGAGAATGAAGAATATGTAGACAAATAACCATCTTGTGATATCGAGGAAATAGGATGTTGTTGTGCTGGATATCCAGGATGTGCCGATGGTGAGTATGAAGAATGTTGCACTCCAATTGCCGGTGCTTGCTGTTCTTTTTGGTAAGCAACATCTGGCATAATAGGATAAGGTGAAGGAGAGTGATGATACGGAGGATAAGGTGTCGATGGATGATGATATGGAGATTGTGATTTCATAGAATAAGGAGTCATCTGATTATATCCATTTTGTGTTTTTGGATAAAGAGGAGTTTCTGGTGTATTACTAGGTACATATGGTATTTGTTGCATAGAAGGTAGTGCTGATGGTGGTGGTGGATGATATACTTCATTCACATTTTGGGCTCTTGACATTGATCTCGTTTGCGGAGGACTTGCACGCATAGATAAATGATGTGGCGGCTGCATCGACATACCACCAGTTTGAATATTACCAGTTGATCTTGAAGCAGACTGACTATTAACTTGCCATCCCGGTACTGCGAATCCATTTGAAATTACATTATCGCTTATACCACTATTTGTTGAGTAACCATGCGGTTTATTGACAGGAAGGATTCCTTTATAAGATGGCTCTTTTATCGGTATCCGAGCGGCTGCTCTTTCAATTTCCTCTAATGAAACGAGTAAATGGGGTGGAATTTTGTTTGTTAAACTGACCAAACGTTCCATTAATATAGAAGCTATTGACAAGTTTATATGAAGAAGAATTAATAATATGAATAGATGAATAATATTTCTATAAAGAAAAAATCCAATACATGCCTATTTCTCTTTCTCTCGGAGAGATATACTCAGGATTTTTTGCAAATCTTTCATCTTGCAGTTTTTGAATCTCTTGAAAGAGCGGAAAATTTTCTTCCAATAATATCGCATCATTCTCCGGGTCGACTTCAGCACCTTGCTTGTAAACCTCTTTACCCTTGCCAGTAATTACTTTGTCTTTATCAAATGAACTTGTTGATTTCGATTGGGAATCAGGTTCACATAATCGCATTAACAAATCGACATCAATACCCTCTTCTAATAATGCTTTTTTATCAATCTCCTCTTCCAATGACGTTTTTTTATCAATCTCCTCTTCCAATGACGCTTTTTTATCAATCTCCTCTTCCAAGCTATCATCTTCTCCATTTAGTATTTCATCACTTTCTTGAATTGGCGAAGACGAATTCTCTTCGATACTCAAAATCTCATTCTCGAGATTTTCCGTTTGTTTTGAATCTTCAATTCCGTTTTCTACTAAATCAGTATTTTTACTATTGTTCATATCAATATCCATCATTTCTGTGCTTTGCTCCTTCTCCCCACATTCCTCCTCCTGTTCTTCTTGATCGTTCACAGATTCATTTTCTTCCGAATCAATCTCAATGTGTTGTTGAGAAATATTATGTACATTATTATTCTTTCTGTATTTTGGATGCTGTAATAGCACTATCTCTTCCATGGTTACCATGCAATTTGAAGTATCAATAGTGGGTGCAAATGATGAGAAAGGACCATAATTCAGGGTTTTTACTGTAGCAATAGAAATTCATGTAATTTAATTTTAGTACGATATATGACCAAATTGGTATGTTCGATTATTTATAGAAATTAATTTTCTTACTTCCGGGAACTGCTATTTCAGTTTTCCGTTCTTTTTTTATCTGTGGATATTTGGGCATGATAGAATCTAATGTTGGCACTTTTTGTTCATCCAACGATTGAGTTGATACAACGGCTACTGCTTGAACATTTCCAGCTGAAGAAGATTAATGAATTGTTGATAACGAAAGATATGAGTATATATAGGGGTAATAAGGATACACAAATCAATCAATTCTATATATATAAACGTTAGCACTTACTCAGAATAATTTTAGAATCCTGGTTGGATAAGAGTTTACGCGTACTAGAAAACATGAATCCATCCGGTCCTCTTTGATATAAAGCTATCCTTTGGGGACGTTTTGGAACTAAATTCATATTTACGAAATACAATTAATATTAGACTAAAGTAAGAGAGACTACAAACAAGTCTGTCTTTGTTTAGCCTTACATTCATTCTTTTCAGGTGCCTTTGGTTGGGCTACGGGCTGATTCAGTGCTGTACTGGTGTTATTGGTAGCTGTAGATACAGGTGTAGTAGCTGTAGAAGAATCAAGATTTGAAACAGTCACAGTAGTAGTAGCTGTTAAATTCTCTTTATTTATCTGACTTGAGTGGTCTTCGATCTCAATATTTTCGTGAGCACCCTTTATTCGTTTTGGTGTTGTATTTAAAATTTCGTCTGGACTCTGTTGGCGTTTTGAACGTGTTGTAGTTGTTGAAGTTGTCGAGTCTCCGTTAGGAGTATTACTAGGAATTGTAGTAGTCGCAACCATGTTCAAACGCTTGCCAAAGATACCTTGACTGAGGCAAGCAAGGCTTGTAATAGTAGTAATAGAAGGTAAACTGACGTGGATAATACTATATTCTCTATTTTCTATACAATGAAGTTATTTCTTGACAACTTTATAATATTTGTATATACGACGTCACTCAAATAAGAAAAAGGGGGCTGTCCCCCTAATTTTTGCTTTGTTCACTGGAAAAATTGAGTCTAGACGGAACGTTGGAATATAGAATGTAAAGTTCTCGTTGGTTATGCGTGTTATGGAATTCAGTCGAGCTGGTGTAAAACTAGAAATGTCGCGCGCGCTGTTGATGCGTTTGATGATATGTAAAATAGAAATCTTTTGGATGTTCCGAGGACCGTTTATCAAAATAATAATATATTTTGAATTTGTTGCACTAACAATTAATTATGCTTAGTCTTATTCTATGTACACTATCGTTATTATTATATTATATTCGTATTATCGTTAGTATTTATTATTCGTTGTTATCGTTATTACTATTATTATCGTTGTTATTATTATTATTATTATTATTTGTTATTAAATTTTCACGCACACGTGATCTTAAATATCCATTTAAGATCACGTGCGGGTGAAAATTTGTTGGCTTAGTCATTTTTAAATCACGTTATTTAAAGTAAGGAGGGGCGTGCTGATTTCTACCGGTGATCTGTAAAATATGGAAAATGTATGCTTTAATCTATCTTGGAGCACTGATTAAGCAATTTTACATATCATCTAGCCCCCTGGCCCTAACACTAAAAAACCAACCTTTAACACTGTGATACACGTATCACATGTTTAGCCACCCTCTAAATGGGTCATGTCTTATATGGTTGGCTAGTTGTTATAACACGCCACAGCTAGCCACAATCAGACAGGAAGCTGCTATAATTAGCTGATAGGCACTCCTGAAATGTTGGCCAAAAAAAAGAAAAATGTGAAAAATGGGTATTCAAATCTAACTTGGATCACTAATAAAAAATGCAATTTTACATATAACCTTGATCTTCACTCTGATCCTCCTAAAATCAACCTTTAACATTGCAGTAAAATTTTCCGGGATCGCCACCAACCTGGCACACATTTCAGAAGTGCAGAATGGTATGATTTAGTATAGATCCAATATTGTCTATACTGAATTTTCTATTCCTTTCTGGGCTCAATAGGAATGTCACTCTGAATTCAAGATCTTCCAACAATTGATATTATGCCCAAATATCTCTTTGGTAACAACAATGACAGGGAGATTCCTCAGCATTTTGTGAACATCATTCTTCAGTACAACGCTCAAACTAGTAAAGGTACAAGCTGATGAAGAGCAATCATTGCTGATAGATCCATCATTATCCATTGATGTTTATATGGAGGCAGAGGATGGATCAAAATATTAGTTGATGGAGAGTAAGAATTATCATTCAAATCGTTTTGGCAAAAGGTAGCATCGGTGCAGGCTTTAATTCGTTTGATCTGAAGAAGCGTAAGTTTGGTTGATATTCCAAAAAATTTATTTCTCCATTTCTATCTTGTGCTTTGTATTTAATGGAATAAACTTCAAGTGTAATATTGATAATCTCACGTGATCCAATTATTAGTCTTACCAAAAAATGGCAGTGTTTGAAGAAGATAATCCATGCAACGACCTATTTACTGACTTGGAATTTCATAATATTGCTTAAAATTTAGCTTGAATTTCTAAAAAGTGATAAGATTGATAAGTCAAACGTAAAGACATTTTCTCTCGAGTCAGGTAAGGACTTTTAGCATTCACAATTGTTATGGTTGATTAGAAGATCACCGCTATGCTTTTTATACTAAAGAAGTAAAAAGCATTGTCTAGTGCCTATCGAGACCAAGGATACGCATTGTTCATCGATGAATTATTAAAAAAGTATGAACGTGATGCTAAAGTTCATTCTCAAACTTGAAAAAGAAGTTAAGACATTAAAGAATTTACTACACAGTAGAAACTAACAGCAGATTAACAAAATACACGTCAAAGTCGATAACAAAAATTACTTATAACGAGCAGTTTTAATTAGAAGAATGAAAATTCTAATGTGATAGGAGAAAATTTTCTTATGATTAGTTAATCAAATTGCAGGAATCCTATGTTTCATATCTCTTACAACAACTTGAAATATGTTCAACAAAGATATAACGATATAGTAGAACAAATTCCATTGGTTGATCACAGCGACAAATCCGTTCAAACCAGCGCGTTTTTTTAATATCGCTCAAAATGTCGGGTTTTGAGATGTGTCAAACAAAGTGACACATGCCATATCCTGGGGCCGTAGGTTTGACTTCCACAAATAGTCATCCAATTTGATTTTCCCAATAGAGAGGGATTTGACTGTATAAAATATAACGTTAACGTTAAACTAACACTAAAGAAAAATTTTGTATTGAGAAAAGAATTCTATATATATAGAATTGTGATGCATCAACAAATACTTTGGTAAAGCAACATTTTAACTATGGCATTTGTGTTAATTTGATTAAACCTTTTATCTCAATTATTGCATAAGGAATTATGAACATTATAATTGATTTATTTTATTGGCGAATAAAATGTAATAAAAAATTACAGAATCCAAAAATACTGCCATATAATAAGTAATCCGAAAACTTGCTAACAATTACACTAGGCGACCTAAACAAGTCCTAACAAAGTTGATACAAAAGAAACAGTACAAAAAATGTTAAAGAAAATTTCATAAAGTATCATTAAGCAGTCAAATCTTCATTCTATCAATTCTAAAGGCATAATATTCCTTGAAATATAAATATAAATATATATTTTTCTTTCAGATACCGTACGTAGTCATTTTTGTCGACCTTCACATACTCGCGATATACGAATAATATGGAGACATTGAGGAAGATGTCATCATAATGTGTTATATGTAAAATATATATATATATGCGTGCCTTCGAGAATATGAAATGATAAAAAAAATAATACTTACACTTCTTTCGTTCGTTCGCTTTATTCCTTGAGCCTAAAGAAATACTCTAAACAGCAACTTGTAACAAAAGTTTTAACGCCTTTCCAGAAGTGCTTTTTTTTCAGTTTGAGCCTAACAGAAATTCAACAATTAATAGACATCACTCCCTGCAGAATATGAAACAATGTACAACGGGAATTTCCGGATTAAGGTGAAATTGAAAAAAAAATATACCAATTATCACGTTAATGCCTGCACCGAATAACCAATCATCAATTTTTTTGCTTCTGTCAAAAAAAAAGTTTAGCATGAATATTAAATTATAATCGATCTCTCTTTTTCTTTCTCGGTACTTATATTATTTTCCTCCCCACTCTGTTCGCTTAATAATTTGATAATTTATATAATATGTCGGGTGGTCAAAAGAAAGATGCTTCCTCCTTCGTCGTTGATTTTTTAATGGGCGGTGTATCAGCCGCCGTATCAAAAACTGCCGCGGCTCCCATTGAGCGTGTAAAACTTTTAATTCAAAACCAAGATGAGATGCTTAAATCTGGTCGTCTTGCGACTCCTTACAAGGGTATCGGTGAATGCTTTTCTCGTACCGTGCGAGAGGAAGGAGTTATTTCGCTTTGGCGTGGTAACACCGCGAACGTTATCAGATATTTCCCCACCCAGGCGTTGAATTTTGCCTTCAAAGATAAATTCAAGAGAATGTTTAATTATAAAAAAGAGAAGGACGGTTATACGAAAGTGTTCTTAGGTAATATTGCTTCGGGTGGTGCTGCTGGTGCTGCCTCTTTAACGGTTGTGTATTCGTTGGATTATGCACGTACTCGTCTTGCTAATGACGCGAAAAGCGCAAAGAAGGGTGGTGAACGCCAATTTAATGGTCTTGTTGATGTATATCGCAAGACTATCAAGTCTGATGGCATTATTGGTCTTTATAGAGGTATGCTGAAATTGAAATCTTCGATCTGTTTAGTAAAGAATATTTTTACTAAATCACATGATTATTGCATTTGTTTAAGGATTCAATATCTCTTGCGTCGGAATTGTAATTTATCGAGGTATTTTATGATGTAATTAATTAATTGATTGATTAGACTATATGATCGTCATAACAAATTCTATATTTGGAATATTAGGTTTATATTTTGGTATGTATGACTCTTTGAAACCAATCGTGCTTCGTGGCGACCTTCAAGATCAATTCTTGCCAAGGTAACAAGTCAAAAAACATTTCTTGATCACTATGTCCTTATCTAGAGACTTTAACCTTCTTTATCCACATAAAATTATTAATAAATTTCTGCACACAATCTTTTCTAAAAGTTTCTTACTTGGTTGGTGTATCACTATTGGCGCTGGTTTGGCCTCCTACCCAATTGACACAATTCGTCGTCGCATGATGATGACATCTGGTGAAGCAGTCAAATACAAATCATCATTGCACGCCTTTAGAGAAATCATCGCTAAAGAAGGAACGAAATCCCTGTTCAAGGGAGCTGGTGCTAACATTCTTCGTGCTATTGCTGGTGCTGGTGTGTTGGCAGGTTACGATAAACTTCAAATCATCTTCTTCGGCAAGGCATACAAGGGTGGCTCTGGATAAATAGTAAAAGAGAGGAACTGCCTTTCTCCCTGCTGAACATCAAAGTAATATAATTATAATAATATCAATATCAATATCATTAATAAGTAATAAATGTATATGAAAATTTTTGTCGTAGTCGTAGTTTTTTTTGGAGCAATATAGTCGATTTTTTTTATAAAAATAGACATTCCTATAGATTCATATAATATCTTGCCCTAAAAAATTCCTCTTATCCCTCCTTCCTTCTCTTTCTCGTTGTTTCTCTTAATAATTTTTGGTGCTTGGTTCATTTATATGAACTACCATCAGGCATTTAATTTAATTATTTAAATCAATATTTAAACTTGCAAAATAAAATTTTATCATTGAGCAAATTGTCAATTTTTTCACTTGTAATTTCTGTATTAGCGTTAGGCCAACGCCAATAATGTTATACGACACACCCAATGAAAATTCCTATTGATAATTGCATAGTGCACTACCCGGCAGGGGTGAGAGAAATTATGATTAATTGCGGCAGCGCCTTAAATTGATAACAGAGTTGAAGCTAGTTTTTGGTTTTTGATGCTGAACTATTGAGTATTTCCGCGTAAAAGTATACAAAAAAACTGTATCTAGAGGTTTGTTTAAAGACTTAATACCATATCGATATGATATGAACAAGTGAACTTATTCCTTAATTTCATTCAGGCCTGGGTGACGTTAACTTCTGGCATTAAAAAAAGATCACCATAATTTTAGGGTTCATGCATCTAGGATCTTAAGTCGGCTATACAAATCATATTCCCAAACCGAAAATCTGGGCCTTTTTACCCTTAACTTTTTCGATTTTTTCGTTTGTGTTGGTGGATACTACCATCATCAGAATAGATAATTAAACCGTGAAAAAATATGTATTCAACTGATATATCAGACTGCACAAAAAACTTTGACCGCAACAACAACGGTCAGCAACAATTTAAAGAGATTTTACCAAATCAAGCCAAAGAAGTAGAGTATAAGAATGCGGAAAAGGGTCTTCAGCAGGTAATCCGTTAATCGCCAACTTTTATCCTCGCAACTTATTTGTTTATTTTTTTGACTCTAAATGTTTTTATAAACTTGCTTTTATTAAAATAGAAGACCGTGGATGTAGCTTCCACACAAAAACCTAAAATTTTACCAAACTTGGTATCCGCGCCTGAGGTAAACGGGCAATCTAACGGGAAGCTTCATAGCTCTGGCGGATCCGGCGTGCCTAATGTATCGCTGCCTACTAGTGAGGAACTTGAAAGCCAAAATGTAGTGGGACATTTCGAATTAGTTGGGCTTCGTGTACTGATGGTCCATAAAAATGGGCAAATCATATACAAATTACCTGGAAATATGTCAGTACAGTCTCTTCCAGTTGAGACAAGAGAGTTACTCATGGAGAAGATCAAAGAAATACATAGGACTTATTTGGAAACACCAACTCTCACTACCGCAAATAAAGAATCAACGGTGAACGCGTCAAATCTTACAGCTCCTACAGAAAATACTCAACAATCAAGATCGCAAAGCTCATTAAATGTACCCGCTATTAGTCAAATCGGTCATAATAGAATGATTGTCTCCCAATCGTTACAAACACAACAACCCTATCAATCATTAAGACATAATAATGGGAGCTCATTAACTACACCTACCACGAATCACATTGGACATAATCGAATGATTGCACCTCAGCAAAATTCAACGACAACTCAACAGAGCTCATCATCAAAACTCACCACAGGCAATTCATTAACTACAGCCACCATTAATCAAATTGGTCACACTCGAATGATCGCTCCACAAACTTTGAATCTACTACAGACACCTAACAAATTGGAGAATACCAATTTAGAAACCAACAAATATTCCACACAGTCATATTTATCATCACCAACTCCATCACTTCCAGCAGTACAATCTCCTACGAAGCCGGCTTTTGCTTCATCATATTCAACTACGGGCACATCATATTCACCTACTGGCACATCATATGCAGCTACTGGCGCATCATATTCAGCTACGGGCACATCATATTCACCTACTGGAACATCATATTCAGCTACTGGCACATCATATGCAGCTACTGGCACATCATATTCAGCTACTGGCACATCATATTCAGCTACTGGCACATCATCTACCACCGCCACAACAACAAATCACGAGACTTCGACAAAACCGACACGAAAATATAATAAAACAGGACGATACTCTAAAAAAAGGCCTCGTCAGCAAGAAGCTGATGCGGATCTGCAGCAGCAACAACAGCAAGCATTAAGTATAGAACAGAGGACAATAGCACAACCAGTAGTGCACATGACTGATTCTGCGCAATCGCAAGTACAATACAGGTTAGTAAAGATATATTTTTCTCTACACGTATTTACTTCTATAATAAACTAACTCTTTTAAATTCTTAAAATTATAGCTTTGCACAGAGTTTGGCTGAGGATCATCGAGCTGTTTTGTATCCCGACTATAAAACACCGTTCTCATCATTTGGAGACGTGCTGAACCGACTCTTACCCTATCATATATATCAATACGCCGATAATGAGCTTGATTCGAATAAAAATACATCAACAGAGGAAGAAGGTACTGTGAAAAATAAATTCAAGTCTATTTTTACATTCCAAACTAATTATTCTTAATAATTAATATATATATGTATATATATAGATGTTAGGTTTGCTTTCCGTTCTCTAAAGAGACGAAAAGTTATATATGACAAATTTCATGATATTCTTCGAAAAGAAGCAAAGGTAAATCTTTTATTAATAATTATTATAAATTTTTTTCGCCAATCATAAATTTTTTAAATTAATAATTACTATATTTTAGAAACCTGCGCCCGATCATCTCACCCATTTTTGTGAAAAAGTAATCGTCGATGACATGAAAGAGGAAGTAACGCAACTCCGGCAACAAAAACAACAGCTGGAGGCTGCTCTTCGTCACCAGCAACTAGTGGCAGCACAAAAGCAATTACTTAAACAACAACAGCAGCAACAACAGCAGCAGCAACAGCAGCAGCAACAACAGCAACAAAAATCATGATCAACATCATTGAATACCAGTATAATAAGGAATTCATATCATCATCTTCGAATAACAATCAAATATATTATAATAAGGAATCCTTAATGTTTAAATGTGTCATCATTTTATAAACTGCTATGTAAATAGTTAATAATTTTCATGTTAGCGAATTTTTTCTTGTTATATTCTTCGTTTACTAGTTAGTTGTCTTATTACTTTTAATGCTATCAAAACTTTCTAGTTAATTTTTATCATAATTTCACACACTATAATTTGTTTTCTTTTTGTATATTTTCCTTTTAGAAATATTATATTACTCTTATACTTAATCTATCCTGATATTGAATTCCCTCATCGATACTTTTTATTTTTCACTTTATAGTTAGATGTATATAAGACAAGCAAAACACTCAATTGTGGGTTTATTTAGCATAGACTTTCAAATAATTGTAGTAAAAATTTAATTTCCTCAATTTATAATTGAGCTATTTTTTCCCTTGTAATAAAAAGAAATGAACCGAAAAATTCGAGATTACCCAAGATTTTAACAACGATCTGTTTGAAACATGATTCTTTACTGTATACATGTAAAAGAATTCGATGCGATAGATATAACCAAATATGATTGACGAGTATCGATTTGAAAGTAATCTAAGAAAGAAATTCTTTCAATTAAAAGAATTTGCAAAAATATGATATGTAAAAATAATTACTAATAAGACTCTTGAAAATAATAAAATAATAGTGCTTTTTATTTCTTTAAGTATGAAAATGAATATAATAACAATTAGCATGATTTAGTGCAAAATTTTGATATTTCAAAAATACTAGTGCCATTGCATAAAACATATATACAAATTATTTATTTTTATTTATTATTATACTGGAAATTATTTTTAAATATTTTTTCAGTAAATATATATACTGACATGAAATTGCAATATATAAAAATTGAATTGTAATTATTGTTAATTTGTTATAATTAATTAAACTATTATTTTTAATATATATACATATTTAAATATATTTAGAGTATATATTAGTGGAATTTGCCACAATATTATATTTTATTATTCTTTAATTTGTATTTCAGACAAATTTGTCTGGAATTTTTAAATTTCTTAGTTTATCAATTTAATCTAATTTTTATAAGTACATAAATATATAATTAAATTTCAAATAATGTCAATTAGTACAAAATTCTGTATGTATACTTATTTAATATATTTTAAAAAATTTTTGAGTATAATTGTAAAAAAATTTTTGATATCTGACTTTAGTGTTTCTTTTTTTTTGAATTAAAAAAAATAAAATATTATTTTTTTGTAATGATAAATAATTTAATAGTTTATTAGAATAGGTAATTGTTAAGAAAAGATTTATATAAAACTAATAAATACAGGTTCACTATGAGGCCATTGATTTTCTCCAGTCTAAGTAAAATTATATAGTTGTGGAGTTAAATTGAAATCATTTGTAGAAAAATATGGCTTCTTCGAGTTTAAGACGTCCCTCGGATCTTAATAAGTCTAGAAAGCAAAAGAAACGAGAGTGTTCTTATTGTGGTCTTACAGCACGGATTCCTGATGGGGTTGGAGGTTTTATGTGCCCACGCGGACATAGAGACGAGGTATATACACTAAAATATTTTTTATATACCTAGTGAAAGTCAATTGGAAAAAAATACGTTATATCGAGACTGCTCTTAAATCCGCTATATCGATAGAATTTGTTGTAATTTTTTTTATAGCTGATATTGGATAAAAATTTTTGGTTATTAATTTATTAGAAACAACTAAAAAAAGACGACTGCAATTGATTGATTAACTATTAACGAGCTTAATATATTAATTAATTAATTATCGTGAACAATGTCAGCGTTTACAAGTACAAGTTGGTGAGGATACCGATTTTTTAGTACATGGAAGCGAACGCAGAAAGAAAAGGACAAAAGAGCCAGACAAAAATGAAAAAGCGAAACGTGAGTTGTTTCGTTAATTCTATTAATCCAAGGATCGTTGTAACATATTGTAATATAATATTTTTTTGTCATTTTTAAGTAACTGTTCCTTATTTCGGGGACAAAAAAATTTACGTGTACAGTGTTTCTCTTCAGCATGTTCTTCGTCATCAAGTCCGCATCATGATTGAGAACATGAATTGTCCGCCTGAATATGAAGTATGTTTCGTTTTATAATTTTTGGATAAAGTTTTTTTTTACTACTTAATTTATAATTTTTTACAATAATATTAGCGCGTAATTCGGCATCTTTGGACTTTATTTATTAACGCATCAAATATCAAGTTTCCACAAGATTGGGTTGACGAACATGGTAAAATTAGGAACAATTATAAGAAAGATGACATCGCAGTTGATGACGATGAAGATGAAGATCTTGAAAGATTGTTGACTCTTCAAAAGCCCCTTGATGAATCAGAAGGAGGAGATGGTGCTCTTGACAATGTAGAAGATTTGGTGAAAGAAAATGGTGATTCTGACGAAGACGACAAAGATAAAAAAGAAGGCAAACGTAGACGTAAGCCAAGGAAAATATTTCCAGAGATGAATGTCAATTTATCGATATTATATTTGGGATGTGTTTGGTTAAGACAGCCGATTTTGTTAGCAGATATTATCAAGTAATTAATTATTCATGACACTTTGTTCATATATGTAACCATTTTTCTGTTGATATTAACGAAGTTTATCTTTTTTTGAAAATTGTTTATACAGATGGGCAAACAGTGATAGAATCCCGTATTTCTCTGCACGAACACTGCTTCCCAAATCTCTAAGAGTTCGTCTTGATAGATATAATAGAAGCTTTGAACCAATTGTATGTATTACCGTGTCTTTTATCATTTATTCTTTATATTGATTGAACATGATTTTTTCTATTTTACGATTTCAGATAATGAGAAATATGCATCATTTCGAGAACATTGTGACAAAGCTCGTGACAGTCTATAATTCTCATTACGGGATTTCGTTTCCAGAAATTAATATGCCACCTATACTGTATCGTTTTGTACGAGAATTTTTATTGCCAGGTATTTCGTTCTTTTGTATTATCCGTGTTAATATTTCTTTAATTATGGGATGATATAATTATTTCTTTGGTATTAGTTGAATTTTATCCAATCGCCAAAGAACTCGGAAATCTTGTGGGACTAGATTTAAGTGTATCAGGATACATGGTACGTCATTATTCGAATCCTGGTCCAAAGTTGATGGGTTTACTGGTGATTGTTACTAAATTGATTTATGGCCTTGACGGACAAGAAAGGTATTCATTGTGTTTGTGTGCATTCGATTCAATTGATGAGATTTTGCTATGTTTTGATTTTGTGTATAATTCAATTATGGAAAATAATATTTAAAGGATACCCTCAGAAAAAGATCAATTTGCCAAGTTCTTTCCGTCAAAAGAAAAGTGGTTTGCAGCGCTTCGAAAACGATGTGCACATAAATTTAAAGTCAATTTGCCTACAAATCTTCGGTAAGTCAAAAAAAGTTGCAAAAGAATATTTTCAACTAAATTTCAAAAATTTTTCGCTTGCTATTCATTAATAATTAATTATATAGCCAGTGGCATGAATATTCAGAAACCTATCCGGACGAATACATCGAGTTCGCAAGGAAGCAACTTTTTTGTCCTATTGATGATGATAATAATAATAATAATAATAATAATAATGATAAAAATGGAGGAGATCGTCCCAAAGAAACCCGTACGTCGTATATTTGTTACGTTCTTTTTGATTTTTTGTTAGTATTACTAATTAATAGTAAATAATAATGATAGAACGAACAAAACGATTAAATCAATTTAATCTTTATCTCAAGAATTTCTGCCTCAAACTTGAGAGTTCAGAGGCATCGCAGTCCCAACCAAACTCAAATAACAGTGAAAAATCACAGGAAGGAGGAATACCAGCAGTTCAAGAACTAATATATCATCTTTATACTGCCAACTCACACAATAAATCAAATATATCATCATCATCGCTAGCAACACTAACACATGAAATTATGGAACGCAAAAAGTATAATAAAAGCGACAACTTTGACGACGATGAGCAGCAGAGAGACGATGAGCAGCAGAGAGACGACGAACATCAATCAGACAACGACGACGCTCTTTCCCTCGGCCAAGAATTCCTTTCTTATTCCATAGGTAGACTGAGACCCGTTGAAGATTCATTAGGCGCATATCACGAAGACTACAAGAATTTGTTAAGATATGCGGCTGAAGAATTATTGATGTCAATCGCAGAGTTTAGCAAGATAGTCAATGATATAGAACGAGACTTATATGCTCGTGCAAAGGAAAATGGGTTCTTTGATGTTAAAGATGATGGTCAAAATAATTCAGATGAAATTTATTAATATCTGAATTCGCGAAATTGAAGTGTCTGCACTAATTTACATTATGAATGTATTATATGAAGTTGCACATATCAAGTAGTAATAATAATACTTATTATATTACAAATCTGCTATTATTAACTGATTAACCATACTAGCCAGCCTAAATCCCTAACACTGCATGTTTTTGTTTCCAGTGTCTCTGATTCAATAATAATAATAAGAATAATGATAATAATAAATAATAAATAATACCTCCATATAAGCACTTCATAGGAAAAACCTCTCTATAAACACATTTGTAGATTTTAGAATAAGAAAAAAACCTCTATAAGCACACTTATAATGGAACCTCCTTATAAGCACATTTCACTTCAAAAATTACTAATGCGCTCAGATATGTGACTATATGGAGGTATGACTGTACTTGTATGTATATGAATTTGAATTATATTCACATCATAAAGGATGGTGGTGTGTATGTAGTGTAGTGTAGTGAAGATAGTTGCGATTCAATCGAACGCCCAAATATAATTTTGGTTCTTGTTCTTTTTCTTGGTTATATTTATAAAACATTTGGTTTAAGAAGGATCAGAAAGAAAGAAGATAATAATTTTTGATGGAAGATGACTATTCATTCGAGCAATAATAGGAGGTGGATATTGGATGATGATTATGATTTAAAGTAATTTAACAAAAGGAATGAAGATAATATCTATAGATCAATATATACCACGAAAATAATTATACAATATCATTTTGAGGGTCTACGAGCAATATAAATTGAGCCTGTGTATGGTAAATAGAAAATTAAGAGCGAAAAAATTATTAATAAGCAAAAAAAATTTACACGTGAAAAATTTTCTTCTACTCATTAACAATATAAAAATTTTCACACCAGCAAACAACAAATATGTTTTTGTTTTATTTACATCCTTTTCGAGGAGCACCGCCTGTAGCCAAAGGTCGTGAAGTTTTTGATTTTTGCTGCATTATCATCAACCTTTGGCGTTCAAGCATTTCTTCCCTCTTGTCTTCTTGATAACCGATCTTAGCACTGAGAATAATTTATATCAATCTATCTATTAATATTCATTGACTCGAGAAGAGAAAATAAAACATACCTTCTTGCTTCTTCGCGCAGTACCTCGAACCCGGAAACCTCCATCTCGTCGTCATCTGAATAATAATCTCGATACCTAAAAAAAAAAGCAAAAATTCAATATCTCTAAATAATTTTACCAAAAAAAAGAAAAAAAGTCCAAAATTATTTACTTTCGTTTATCATAACCAAAGACATCACGCAAAACAGCCTGAAGGCTATTTTTTTGCTCAGTGACAGGGCGCTTTGCAGGACGTTGTTCTGACGAGAACTCTCGATCTGGTCTCTTCCGCAATGTAGCAGCAGACGACAAACTTTGTCGTGATTGTGGTCGTTGTTCATCGAGAGAAGAAACTTGTCGAGACCGAGACTTTTTTTCTTCTTTAATAGTTGAAACGCTTAGACTTTCAGTTACGCCATTATTACTATTATTGTTTACAGATCCTGTAGGTCTCGCAATCGGTCGCCTTCCTGGCAGATGCTTAAGATCCGAATATACTTTCGGTGCAGAGACCGGAATTACTTTTGCTTTGGCACTTGAGCTTGCGCTTTGTGTTTTTGATTTTGCGGAGGAAGTTGTTACTTTATTATTATTGGATGTTTGATTTGCTGTCTTTGATTTTTGTGTGCTTGGCGATACAGGTGTCTTTGACATCAATGGTGAGAATTTTGAGGGTAATGATGTGCGATTTGTCAGAGAAGGTGGTTTTTGTGTCGAATGAGAAAGAGAAGAACTTGATGTAAGTTTATGAGATGAAGCTGAAAGAGTATCACAACTAGATCGAGATGTATCTGCTTTCAAAAGACTTGGTGCGGGTCGCGCTAAAGGTCTTGGCGTTCTACTAATTGCTTTGAAAGAGGGCACCGCGCTTCCTTCTCGAATATTAAGTAATTCTGTTCTCTTATTGTTAGCTGACTCCGGTGACTCTGATGATGTTCTTTTAAGACTTTTCTTATGATCGTTCGTGTTGCTGCTATCTCTCGTGATTGCACTCTTTCCATTACTATTTTTCCGAACAATAGCACCGCTTTTCGAACCATCAATAGAATGAATACTTTCTCTCGGCAAGTGTCTATTACCATTCATCGTCGATGACGTTGTCGTTGCAGAACTTTTATTAATGGATAAATTTTTGCTATATGGAGTTCTCGAATGATCACCAACGGAAGCATGCTTCCTTACGCTATTATTAATAAAACCTCTAACCGCTCCTCCGCCTCCACCCAATTTCGGGTTACCATTCGTAGAAATAGGCTTTTTATTGACAATGTCCCCATTATTTTGACTAGTAGTAGACTTGGAACTACCTCTCAAAGTCTCCTTGCTCCCGGCAACAACAGAACGTGATTTTGAACTTTCTTCTCGCAAGGAATTATAATTTTCAGTAGAAGTTCTACCAATTTTTGTTTTATCTGACCTTTGTATCGCCATTTTTGCCTTTGTTTTCTTATCGTCTGCACTATTGTTATGATTATTATTACTGCTCATTGGTATTTTGCTGAATGTAATGTTACTAAGGCAAGTGTCAAGTTTATCGGTTGGTAGGAAGGGTATTCGATGAGTGAGTTGGTTTTAGTTATTTTTATATGGCGTAGACATATTTTCTTTCTTTGGGTTTTTATAGTAACCAAAATGATATCTTATCAAAAGAATCTCTATCTTTTCTTGCTTTTGTTCATATACAGACACATATATATATACACATATGGGCTAATCGTTGGTCACGGATCGATTGACTGCGTCATCGAAAAAAAAAACAAATGGTTATTCAGTAATGGAATATAGAATTTTCGTCATTATGATATAGATAACTTTTCGTGGTGGCTGGTTTGAAAATGAATACAGTATTAGTTCTCCCAATGATCTTTTCATTTTGAAATTTGATTCATGTGAATTTATGAATCCCATGATTTGATTGGTCCAAGCGACAACACTGCCCTTGATATATGAAAACCTTGATATAAGCACACCTATTTTGTAAAGACCAGCTATATAAAAACCCTCTATATAATATAGAGCTTACCTTTATATGTATATATAAGCACATTTTTTTTAATTTCCCGATGGTGTGATTATATCGAGGGGCGACTATATTTTCTTAAAATGGTTAATTCTGACAACAATTTTCAGTCAAATTTTCCGAATTAAAATTTTTTTAATGATTTTCGATAGAAAATATAAGAAAAATCGATCAAAATTGGCATTTTACTCGGAGATATTTATTAAAAATTCATCAATTCAATTAAAAATTTGTATATAGAGTATTTAAAATTAAACAAACAAGTTTAATTAGACCTAGTAAAATGTTTTGTAATTAGTAATACAGTCAAACCTCAATATACCGATGCCTCTATATAACGATATTTTGAAAATATCGCTTTAAAAAGGGTGTTTTAGAGTATTTATTACAGGTATACGATATAAAAAAACATCGCTATCTCTCTATACCGATATTTTTCTGAATCCCGATACATCGGTATATAGAGGTTTGACTGTAGTTACCTTAATTTTTTAAAAAAATTTCCGATTCCTTTTCTCGCCCACTGTAAAATACAATCGCCATGACATTATCCTCTTGCTTACAACTATATATAACAGGACCTATCACTATGAGAATAATATGTATTTTCCGAATTATGGTTCTTTGTATTAAAAATAATGAAAACGCATCACTTCTGATTCCAGCCCTCAAAAAATGGCGCCAACCTCAATATGCCTTCTTTCTGTCATCATTTCTAAATATAAGATTGCTCCTCTTTAAAAAATCGACCATATGTTTTTGGGAAATTAAGAAACTTAATAATAAAAAATAAGTTTCCGACATTTCTAGCATCGAGCTGTTCTTTTTGTGGTTGAAAACACGGGTTTTCTTTCGATCTTTCAAATACGCCACAAGTCGTACAAGTCCTGTATATATATATATCATAGAATGTTATTATTATTATTAAATAAAAAGTGATAAGAAACAATGGATTTCTATACTCTCGACCAAATTTTTATCACACCGAGCAAGTATTTATGATAGTATCATCTTTATATTGATGGTTCTCGAATATTTTTACAAGTTTGACTTGACTCTTTTATGCCATTCCAGTCAAAAAAATGTGAAACTAGACTGTAAAATATTATCCACACGAATAACTCGCTTAGATTGATATTTTCCAAGTCGAAAATTAGTATGTTTCCATAATTTCCTAAAAAAGACATATAATCAACGGATACTAAAATAAATCATCATTGACATGATCTTAATTTGGCGAATCAAAGCACACTGATACACTTGCAATGTCTGAACTTATGCAGGAATGTATTATTGTGTGTAAAGAAAAATTCGAGAATACGAAATAAGAAAATGATTCAACTTCTACCCGACAATCATTGGTACATTATGCTCTGTAACGGTTATTAATAATTTTTTGTTTGAAATTAGAGTAGAAGAAATTCTGAGCCATAGTTTTAACGTTTCGGTAATATATTTTATCGAGGATAAAGTGTGTGTGAAATGATGATGATAATTGTCTGCGAAAATTTAAAATATCATTTTTTTTGCAAATAAAATGCGCATTTTGCATATTGCCTATTGCTATGAATCAATAAAATGAATGAACAAAAAAGGTTTTTAATATTGAACATGGATAATTGACCCAGCCACAACAAACCTTCCATTATTAGTATTTTAAGAAAGTTTTTCATATGCATATAAAACCCTCAGACATCCTTTTTCCTCATAAAACTACCTTTATAAAGAAATTTATCTTTTTGTCTCTCATTCTTTTTTCTCCACCTCATACTTTCATCTCGACTCAATCTTCTTACCTACACGAAAATAAACTCTCACACTCTTACCCATTTGTCTACTAACCTTAAAATATCTATAAATATACACACAATAAAAAATGCCACCAGTAGCCGCAGACCAACAGAAATTCACCGGACACATTGGCTCGCTTAGTCCACAACAAGAAGAGACTCTAGAAAAGTTTCGTGAGGAGCTCAAAGTCGAAGGCGTCTTTGTTGAAAAACGTCACGACGATGCTTGTCTCCTACGATTCTTGCGTGCTCGAAAATTTGATCTTGCGAAAGCGAAAAAAATGTTTATCGAATGTGAAAACTGGCGAAAAGAATTTGGTGTTGATGAATTAGTAAAGAATTTTGAATACACTGAACGTGATGAAGTTATGAAATATTACGCTCGTTATTATCATAAAACAGATAAAGAAGGTCGTCCGATCTATATCGAGGAAATCGGTAAAGTAGATATTAAAGCATTGTATAAAATCACCACAATAGAACGCCAAATTCAAAATCTAGTGGTAGAATATGAAAAATTAGCGGATATTCGAGTGCACGCATGCTCGGCCAAAGCAGAAAAATTAATTGAAACCTCGTGCACCATTCTTGATCTTAAAGGTGTCTCGATCCGGTCTTTCTCAAATGTCTTCAGCTTCGTCAAACAAGCCTCCAACATTGGTCAGAATTATTATCCGGAACGTATGGGTAAATTCTATATCATCAATGCACCCATGTTGTTCTCGTCTGTTTGGAGTCTAGTGAAACCGATGCTGGATGAAGTTACCGCGGCTAAAATCGTCATTCTTAATAGTAAATATCAGAGTACATTGTTGGAGGCTATAGATACCGAGGATCTGCCGGAAAAATTTGGAGGTACTTGTAAATGCGTTGGTGGTTGTGAACTTAGTGATGCCGGTCCGTGGCAAGAATCAGAGTTTACGAATGAGGTTAATCATAATCATAATCATGCAAACGAATAGTCTTTAATTACAAACTATTACTCAGGGTGGAGAAAAGGATATAACAATACCAATAGAATAACGTATATAAAATACATCACGGGACATTTTTCTTTTATTTCCAACATCCGTTTTTGTTTAGGTTTCTGTTATCAGTTTTTTTTTTTTAGTTTATTATCTGTATATAAAAAGATGGAAACAGCATTAATATTGTTTAGAAGTATTTTTTTATTAGACCATTTTATTAAATATAGATTTTAAGCAAACACGGGTAAAACAATCATTTTTTTTTTGATTTTGGTTAAATAATAAATATAGTAAAAACAACTCTATCGATATATCAACATTTTTTTGTTCTCATGTTTCTCGCGTGATCGGATTCGGATTCGGTAACTCATTTCACGTGGTATAATCAAAATAATTTGAAATATAACTATAACGATATCATTTTCCCTCTTGTTATGCATTCAAATAAAAACATGTCGAATTCAAAAAAACCAGTGGAAAAAGTGCCAATTGTTTATCATCCCGGGTATAATATTGTTTTTTGGAATTTGGAAAAGGTACTGCTGTTTATCTCAAAAAAGTGAAAATAGTTTATGAACTTAAATGATTGCACGTTTCAACCTGCTATATAATTATCGTTTTTATAATTTGATTCAACAGATCCATCCGTTTGACACACAAAAATACAAACGAATTCATAAAATTCTTGTATCATCAAATCTCTTTGAAGCTGCTTCATTTCACGAGCCAACACCCCCAACAGAGGAAGAATTGTTGAACCTGCATTCACAGAAATACCTCGAATCATTAAAAAGTAATACAGCACTGCAGCGAATACTGGAAGTTCCATTTGTGGCGGTTTTGCCGCAGATTTTGATGCGAAAAAAGGTTTTGGAACCTATGCTGTTGCAGACAGGGGGGAGTGTATTGGCTGCGGAATTAGCGTTGCGATATGGGTGGGCTATTAATTTGGGAGGTAAATGTCATGTAAGCTTTGAATTTGATATAGACATTGGTTAATATTATTTTTGAAAGGGGGGTTTCATCATGCACATTATAATGGTGGGGGTGGATTCTGTGTCTACGCCGATATTTCTATGATGGTTGGACAGATATTAAACAATCCTCAGAATCGAGTAAATAGATTGATGATTGTAGATTTGGATGCACATCAGGTATTTATTTCTAGTGATCCTAATCGGTTAACCATATATACTTTTTTGCGGTCAACAAGTATTTTATATATATATACATATACGTAATTCGTTCCTGCAATGTTTAAGTTATCTTTATTTAGCATGATTATCTTACCGTATAAGAAAACTTTAACCGGTTAGGATCACTAATTATTCCATAACACAACAGGAATATTAATTTCAATATTTCTGCTTATAGGGAAATGGTCCAGAACGTGATCTAGCTGACAACAATAAGGTTCTAATAGTAGACGCCTTCAACGCAAACATTTATCCACATGACACAGACGCCATATCATCAATCACCACACCAATACTACTCGCAACACCAGCGTTAAAGCGTGACGATCAATACCTTCCACTTGTACAATCAAAAATACTTCAATCATTCCGCAAATTTCAGCCTGATTTCATTATATATAACGCAGGAACTGATTGTCTCGAAGGCGATCCATTGGGTGCGATGGATCTTACTCCCGATGGTATCATTAAACGAGACGAGATGGTATTTCGAATGGCGTTAGATCATAATGTGCCGGTGGCGATGGTATTGAGTGGTGGTTATCAAAAGAAAAATGCGGAAATTATCGGTGCGAGTATATTAAATTTAGTGATGAAATTTAATCTTTTAGAACCAAATCGGATGACATCGTTAATATATGAAGAAAATTCGTGAAAGCAGACGCTACTACCGTAAATTTGATTTCATATTACAAAATTTAATGATTAGTTGTCAAATTTGCTGGTCCTGGTCCGACTAGCCATCAGCTTTTCAATTTTCATAAAACAATTAGAGCCGCGGCTCAAAAATTCTTAATGTGTTATAATAACGATAAATGTTGCTTACTATTCAATAAAATCAAGAAAAAATTAACAAATGATTTAAACATTATGCCACAGTAAAAATCTGTTAATTAAACATTATCATTATCTTAAATTGGAATTGGAACCGTTTATTAAGTGGACTAGACCACGGTCTTGTTGATTCCTATTTAATATTAATTATAGATCCCTTTTCCTTTGAAAAGATTCTATTTAGCAATACTCTATTAATTTACAAAATAATATTTTTACATTTTTCTTATTTGTAATATTTTGTGGGCACGAACGGCATTCTGGTTACATATGCTTTTTGATTTCGTGCTCGAACTTTAACCCAAAGTATGGTACCAAGCTTATGATAACCAGTTTCAACATATCCCATTGCAACATTTTCTTTTAGTGTGGGTGAAGGTACTCCACTTGTAACTTTTCCTATTTGTTAACAATTAATTAATCGATTTATCGTTTTATAAAAAGAAATTTTTGTCAGATTATATACCAACCTATTATTTCATCTTTTTGAGTTTTTATTTCCGCGTTCTCTACAGAATATAAAATTACAATAAACGAGTTGTTGATTAAATATCTGCTTTATGTAAACTCATTTTACCTCTTGCAGGCGCCCCCTCAACAATCATTCCGACACGACGACGCTTCGTACCATGCTGAAGCTGTTTAAGGATAATATCAGCACCCAAGAATCCACCCTCTTCTTTTCTTCGTTTACCTTATTATACATCATTAACATAATTTGAATCAAAAAATGAAACATCTTCATTTATCAAACTATCTACTAAAGAAAATACAAACCAATTGTCCAACTTAGTCCGGCTTCAATGGGGGTGGTTGTCTCATCAAGGTCATGCCCATACAAGCATAGACCAGCTTCAAGACGTAAACTGTCTCGAGGTCCTAATCCAGCCAATTCAACAAAAGGATCATCGAGAATCAGTTCAGCTAAACGAGTAGCTTCTGATGTGGGAATAGATATTTCAAAACCGTCTTCTCCAGTATATCCTGAACGTGTCACATGACAGTCAACTTCTTTAATGGACATAAACCTTCCCGTCATGAATTTGAAATCATTTAAATTTTGACCGGTCAATTTCTCGAGAGTTAGTACGGCCTTAGGACCTAGTACAATATTGTTAGTAAAAAAGAAAATTTAAATTGCAACAATGGAAACAAATTGTAAAATAACCTTGTAATGCTAATAAAGCATGGTCATCGATAACCTTCAATTCAGCCTCGCCTCCAGTCTTTTGAAATTCCGATAAATGCTTTTGTATATGTGCCAAATCCTTATCAGCACAAGCAGCATTCGACACGATATAGAGATGGTCATCATGCTTGCATATCACAGTATCATCAATTATACCCCCGTTCTCATTTGTAAAAACAGAAAGAGTCGAGTTACCTATCAGAAGTTTTTCAAGATCAGCCACAACTAATTTTTCCAAAAACTTTATTTTATCTTTGCCTGTTAGCCTATAAAAAATAAAATGTTTCTAATTAGTGTTGTAAATATATGACGGAATGTTGAACTAAAAGTAAACCCAAACCTAGTTTGAAGCATGTGAGACACATCGAATAAAGACGCGTGTTTACGCGTGTGCAAGTGTGAGCCGAGGAGACCGAGATTGGAGTATTGTAGTGGCATAGAGTAGCCAGCAAAAGGCACCTTATTTAAGAAAAAGTTATTATTATTACTGAGCAAAATGAACATGAAAGAAAAAAATTAATTTTTTACCATTTTTCCGCCATATTTGACATGGAAGTCGTATAACGGTGTCTTTTTTAAATTCTATATATATATAAAATTAAGATCTAAGTAGAAGTTTATCCAACATTTTTTAAAAATTAATTTATAATATTACTAACTTCTGTTTCAGTCGTGTACGCTCGTTTATATTTTTGGGTAGTTATTGTGACGCGTCTAAATAAGTTTCTTATCATTTTTTCTTATTCGTTAAAATAGTATAATAGTACGACTAAAAGATATGAAAAATTCTGTTAAAATTCACGTGTTTATGTATTCACGCGACAAGTTGGTTTCTCTGTACCACCTAAAGAAAACCAAAAATCTAGCTTGGGGCACTCGTCGATGAGTCACGTGATCTATTAACTACAATATCGTCCATTTGACCTAATAAAGTTCCAGTTAGCGTTAGCACTAATAAAAATTTTTCGAGATTTTAGTGATAATACACAAAAATGCATGTTCCTGATTTCATTTATTGATACATGTCTATCAACATAATCTGATAAATTTAATGATAACCTTGTGCTTACGTGCACAAAATACCCCCATATAAAAAAGGGGACGAAAAGAAACGAAAACGATAGGCTTGGTTGATTTGCTCAAGCAATTCAGCATTCATTTTACTCAATACTCACCTTTGGGTGTAATTGGAACTATAATCTCATTTTACTTATCCACAATTTAAATTTTCCCAAAACGATTTATTAATAATGGAATTAGAGTCCGCAGCAACATTAGTTGCAAGCGAGACCAACCAACATAATGGCGGTTCTACAGCCGCTCCCTCACTAGCACCTGTCTTTGAACCGATACACTTACAAGACCATCTTGATAAACTATTACCGTTGGTCCTGGGAGCTGAAAGTTCAGAGCTCAAAGCTTCACTGTGGTCTGCACCAGAGACCTCGGAGAAGTTACGACGTTTCGCCAATGACCCCCAAATTAATGTTATTTATATTACCAAAGAAAAAGAAGACGATAAAAAAGAAGAAGGTTAGAAATTAATAACAGTTTCAATTTTAGGATTTGTGAATAAACTGAATATTGATTTTGCCATGAAATTTTAAATAAATTATCGTGTCCAACATAAGTTGATTTGCAATTTCCATTAATATACTCAATTTTCCTAATGATCCGCGTAATCTAACTTCATTATCATCCATAAATGCTATATTTTTTTCTTCAATAATAGAGGATCAATCCTCAGTCACATACACCTACTCCATAACACAGGAAATCACATATCAACAAAACCATGTCGCATCAGTTGCACTAATAAAACTGGTGCCAAGTTTGGATCCAATTCGGTCACTCCAGTTACAAATACAACTTATTAATTTACCTGGTCCCGCGTCTGCGGAATCAGGATCTGCCGCGTTAAGCCCTTACGAGACATTGCATTCGACCATCCATTTGGTGGTTGGTCCGTTCTTCGAAGCCTATGTAAATGCTAAAGGTGGAAGCGGAGATGGGGTAGTAAGCACTGGTAGAGCTAAACAAGATGATTCTAAAATGGGTATTTGATTTTGAAATAATTTGTGAATTGTGAATTTTTAATTTATATAAAGATTTTTTATTAATTGATTTAATCGATTATAATGATTAAAAAGGTATTCCAATGGCAAAGAAGAAAATCGCCGAATTGGAATTGTCCTTGCGACATCTACAACAAAACGTTGAGATCCCCGAGATTTCACTAAGCATTCATCCGGTTGTTCAAAAGGCCGTAGAAAAGGCATGTATAATATCAAAAAATCATTAAATCGATTTAACCAATTCACTTCATTTGCTCAATTCTCTTTAATCTCCAAAATCAATTAAATAAATAGGCTAAACAAGAAAACAGAAGCGTCAATGTTGACATGATTGATCAATCACACCTCGAAGATTCAGGGCTTCTTAATAAACTCCAGAGTGATGTAAATGGATGGATCAAAGAAATCCAAAAAGTAACTAAATTGTCACGAGATCCGTCTAGCGGTACAGCTATTCAAGAAATTAATTTCTGGCT